CCTTCCTTCCTTCCTTCCTTCCTTCCTTCCTTCCTTCCTTCCTTCCTCCTTTCTTTATAGTTCTCATAAATTAACAGTATAGAACTGTTCTTCCTATTGCAGTTTTCAGTATCTACAGCAGTAGTTCCTGCATGGAATAAGACTATAATCTGGAATTCTACTTTTTTTGTTTTCTACAATTTATATGTCACTTAATTCCAGCAATCCAAAAATCCATATTTATAAGATTGTATTATATTGTTTGATAATTTATTTCTCCATGGTTTAAGGTTAAGATAAAGATAAACTTATTGTCAGTTTTTATTGTGAAATTCTATTGCCTGCTCTCAAAAGAAAATATATATCTACCTATACACATACACATATATAACACACATATATACATATTGTATACATACACACACACACTCACGCGCGCGCACACACACACACATATATATATACACATACACATATGCATATACATCACTGTCCATTTTGAATACATAGTGGAAAGAAGAAACTTGAGAGTTCACAAGGTTGATACTATATGAAAAAAAACTGTGATTAAATCTAGATGTTCTGCTTCGGATACCACAAAGTCTCCTCACAGAAGATAACAAAGAACACAGGTCATGAAGAGGATGTGTAGCATCCCAGACAATACTGCAGACCCTGCTCCAGCATTGCTTATATGCTATGTCCTGGATAGAAGGAAGTAAATGGCCAATAATCTTTTCTGCCATTTCATCACTCTCCGTACCATCTTCCTGTCTGAAACAATAATGCTTCCAAACCAGGTAGTAATGCAATATGACAGGATGCTTTCGATCATCTCTCTATTAAAGGAGTAAGGATAGAGGAAGGAAGATGCACTTTTCTCATGAGATGCAGAAAATGCAAATGCTGCTGTGTCTGCTTCATTGGTTTCAGTTGAGTGACCAAGCTAGCCTACTCGTTAGTTGCACACCCAGAAACTTGATGCTGCTAACCACCTCCACAGGTGAATCAATATACAGAGGTATGTGGCTGTGCCTGCCTTTTCTGAAATCGACAATGATATCTTTAGTTTTTCCTTCATTTAAAATGAGGCTGCTTTTATTACACCAATTCACCAAACCATCTACTTCCTTGCGGTAAGCACCCTCATTGTCATCCTGAATAAGACCCACTATTATATCATCCACATACTTTGCAATATAGTTGGTGGCAAACCTTACACAACAATCAATTTCACAATGAAGTCAGGCAGTCAAATTATTTGATTATACTGTATATAAGGTTGCATGCCTTTCTTATAGGCTAGTCCATCCTAGTCTACTGGAAAAAAGTAAAATTTGGCTATTGAATGTTCCATTGTCAGCCAGTAAATACAAATATAATTCCAGAGTCAGCAGTAAGTATACATACATGTTCATATAACCATATGAACATGTGCACACACGCATACACAAATATATGTACACATAATTTCAAATTATGTTAGAGGCTTATTCCATCTATATGCTCATTTTAGAGCTGAAAGAAAGTTTGTCTTCTTGATTCTGTTTGCAGTAGAATCATGTTTGGTAACTAAAATGAGGTAGAAAGTATTAATTGTCTTTAAGCAGAATTTCTAAACATAAGAATTCTCAATATATTGTTTTTCCCATTCTATTTTGTAAAACTCGGATAAATGAAGTTGGACAGTATTGAATACATGCAGCCTTTAATAATTTGCTCTTTTTTCTTGTATATTCAGTGCAGCCAGTGTATCCAAGGATCAAAAATGTTACGGCAGCAGCTGCTGAAATTTATGCCAATATCAGTTGGGAATATGAGGGTCCAGTTCATGAGAACATTTATGTTGAATATGGTGTGGCAGGCAGTAAGAAGACATTTCATTTAATTCTTTTAAATGTATTGTAATAATAGAAAAACCAGTATTGATTTGCTTTTCTAAAGTTATATCTGCCTTTTTAGGGCACAGATTTAAGGGGTCAGATTTTGTGGAAGTAACTTGTGTTTAATTCCATACATAGAACATTAGTTTCTTGTATTATCTTAGGATTTCTGCCAAAAGCACTTACTAAAACATTTAACACACTTGTTTGACATCGCATGCCTGTCCGTACAGGTCACTTTGATGGTAATGAAACAACAAAGCAGACTGAATTAGTTCTTTCTTTCTCTCAGGAAGTAAATTAGCAGATTATCAGCCCCATGAAAAACATACATAGGTTTTGGATTGTGAAAAGAATGCACGTTCCTTTTAAACTAGTATTTTTCAATTCAAAGAAATATACATGGAACATATGAATAGTGTTTTCCTAGCATGGTTTGGTTAGCTATTCACAAAACTGCTCACTGTGGAAGACTTTGATTATTTGTAGTTTGGTCTTCTTTCTGTTGTGATATTCTGAGGAAGTTATATATCCATGATGGCAAACCTATGGCATGCATGCCAGAGAGGGCACACAGAGCCCTCTCTGGGCACACAAGCCATCACCCCAGCTTAGCTCTGCCATGTATGTGTACGCACCTCCCACTGGCCAGCTGGTTTTTGGGTCTCTGCCATGCATGTGTGGGGGGCAGGGTGCACATGGGAGTTGTGTGTGCACGCTCAGGGGAACTAGGGTGAATGCTTGGGGTTGCATGCGCATGCATGGGGGATGGGGTCCACATGGGGGGGCGCACGTGCATGTGCAGTGTCATGGGGGGGTCGTGTGCATGCATTGGATGGGGCGCATGCACGGGATTGCAGGGTGGTCACATGCGCATACGTGGGGTCGCGGGGGTTGTGCACACATGCATAGGGGCAGGGCGCATGTGCACACGTTGCATTTTGGGGATGCACATGCCTGTGTGCGTTTTGGGCACTTGGTGCCGAAAAGGTTAGCTGTCACTGTTATATATAATTGCTTATCTTATTTGCCAGTTTCCATGTGAGGAAATGGTGCCTAGTGGGTCAACTTTGCATAAAATGACAGCTTTTTAGGAGTTCCAAATAAGATGATGTAAGCCAATCTGAATAGAAGCTTCTTTTTGTGGTTAAAAAAGAAAAGGAAGAACATAGTCAAACATAGTTTTAAAAAGTTCATTGAGAATCTGTCCTTTTAATTGTGATTCCTTTCCCTTCTTAGTAAGCATAATTGATGTAAAGTATAACAAAATAAATGAAAAATGTTGTTTATTATAATACACAAAAGATGCTTTAAAATTATTTTCTCATCCAACTGCCTTCTTCATGGCAATTTTGAGCAGAATAGCACGAAGAATAAAATAATACTTAAAATACAGTTCTCTCAATGCTCTGTCTTCAGAAAAAATATTTTAAAGATCAGTAAGTGACAAGATATCTCACCGTGAATGAATGAATACAAATGCTGTGTTCCTAAAAATTTTATAGGCAAAGAAGAATTGAAAAAAGAAAATGTTAATGGTTCTCGGAGCTTCTTACTCTTAAAAGGATTAACACCAGGAACTTCATATAAAGTCCGGGTTGGTGCTGAGGGTCTTTCTGGTTTTAGGAGCTCAGAAGCTATATTTGAGACAGGTCCAGGTGAGGCACACCATGCAATTCTGCCTTCCATTCAGAATTGTGATGTATTAAGTGCTGGCATTTCAAAATAGTGTCATATTCTCTGTACATATGTTAATGTGTTTTTTTTCCGCCTCCTTAAAAGGTGTAACTCAGAACTACATCAACTCATTTTTGTTCACACAGTGGGTATCCATGCCATTCATTTTGAGAAAAGACATAGTTCTCATGTCTCCTTTTTAAAGATGCTTTCTAATCCTCACATGATTTTTTTTCTACATGATGAAATACAACAATGTTTGAAAATAGTCAAGTCTGAATAAATTAAACATTACAAGCAGTTTTTTAAATGGGGGGGGGGTATCAAAACCATCTACAAAATGTAATGTTCATTGAATATAAATAGTGTATATAGTATTGAATATTTTATTCAAAATCTTTACTGTGTCAATTTGTATCTCAGTTTTTTTACATACTGTACGTTGAAACATAATATTTAGAGATTCTCATAGGTTATTTGAGAAATATTTGAATGGCATTTGTTCAATATCACATAGTCTCATTAGGGAGCAATCTTTCTATCATATGTCCTGTGGAGTCATTTGCAGAACTGTATGTTAATAGTCACAAGCTTTGGATGGAACCAGTGGTAAAAGGGTGTCAGATTATTCACCTATTCAATTTTATTATTTTTGATACCTGACCCTTTCTTCTTTCTGTCTGGCTCTTGCTCTGTCCCTAATTACAGGTTAGGACAATTGCTAGAATGCTGAATTAAGAGCATGCATCATCTGGCAAGTTGCCCATCTGTGCTGAAAAAAAATGTGATTAACAGAAGTGTTTTATTTTCATACTGCATGGACACTGGTTTTTATAAATAGAATTATATCTCTAAACTTAATTTTGTAAAATAAAATAACTTGTCAGGAATGGTTCAACACCCCTAACTTAAATGATATTTTAGATCAGTACCATGTTTCTCCAACAATACACCTCCCCCCAATAGGAAGACCCAGCATGTTTTCTAGGCATAAAAAGAAATTAAGCCCCTCCCCCCAAATTTAGGCCTAGTTTAAAACATGTGAAATTGGCGGGGGGGAAGGCAGGGGAACTTGCCATTAGGAGTGCCCTGCGGGCAGCTACGCCTCACCATCAGCCACTCCTAACACCAAGGTGGAGCACGGAGGGCTCCCTTACCCGGGTCAGCAGGCGGGCGGCATTGGCGTGGATGTCTGGTAGCATTTCAGCTGCTTCTCAGGCCTCCGTAGCTTCCATAGTTCCCACTGGTGCTGGCGCCTCTCTCGCCAGCGCCGTTTCCAACAACAGCATCTGAGTCGCTCCCGCTTTTCACCCGTGCCCATAACAACAGGAAAAAACACATTTTGAGGTATCTGGGAGTGCCGCGCGCTGCATTTTGGTTTAATCCTGAGCGGCTGGGTGGGCGTGAGAAGAGCCGAGTGAGCGTCTCTGCTGTTGCTACCCTTGTTGCTCCAGCCTCGGACTCTGCAAGTTTGCAAAAGTCCAGGTGCGCAGCCCGTTCCTGCATTCCAAGCGCTCAGGCCAAGCTGCAGCTGTCCCTCTCTCACCAGCGCCGTCTCCAGTAACAGCGGCAGCAGCGGCAGGAACCTGGAAGCATTTCAGCCACTTCTCCGGTGGGGGAGCCGCCTCCGTAACTTCTACAGTTCCCGCTGCTGCTGCCACTGTTATTGGAGACAGCGCTGGCGAGAGAGGGACAGCTGTAGCTCGGCCTGGGTGCTTGGAATGCAGGAACGGGCTGCGCACCGGGACTTTTGCAAACTTGCAGAGTCCGAGGCTGGAGCAACAAGGGTAGCAACAGCAGAGACGCTCGCTCGGCTCTTTTCACGCTCACCCAGCCACTTAGGATTAAACCAAAATGCATCGCGCGGTGCTCCCAGGTACCTCAAAATCTTTTTTTCCTGTTGTTACGGGGACGGGGGAGAAGCGGGAGTGACTCAGACGCTGTTGTTGGAGACGGCGCTGGTGTGCGGGGGGGGGGAAAGAAATTAATTCACCCCCGAAAAGATGTCCTAGCCGTTTTTTCGGGGCTCAAATAAAAATAAGGCCTGGCCTTATTTTGTGAGAAACACAGTAGCTTCTTATGCTCATAACAGTATATGTTGATTGTTTGATATGTGAAGAGAAGTACAGAATGCTGTTCTTCAATTAATGTTTCTTCTGTTTGCAATAAAAGAACTGGCATGAGAAAAACCCTTGCATTCAATATCTAAATATTATTTCAAATGATGGATTAGATCCAAAGCTTATAACTTATAGTTAACTCTATAAGCTGAAACATTCATTGTAGGTAAAAAGGTCTGAACTCTCTTTACCTCATAGCATTTTTATGCCTGAAATACTATTTAATATGATTGGGTAACTTTTTCTGCATGACAGTACAACTCCCCAAACTCTTTGTGCCCTGTCAACACTATTACAGATGTCCAGCTTACAGGATGGAAAATAGAAAGGACATTTGAAAGAGTGCCTGGGTACAAGGATCAATAAGCCAACATTGGAATTAACATGACCATATTCTTCTAAACATTTGAATAGGCTTGGCACATTTTTAAAAAACATATTTTTTCCTAAACCCATAAAAAATCTATGCCTTGGAAGGATACTATAATACTTCAGCTATACAAAAGCCTTAGATTCTGTCATCAAATTCTATAAAACCCAAGCTCCTTTAAATTAAATGTAAATAATTTGGATATAAAATTTTCTTTGTTGAATGGAACTAACTGATATCTAGCTAAATCTACTCGGCAGTTTGGAAGGCATTTTTTTTTTAGTTTTCATTTGAAATTTGTAGATGTATTTCAAGACTCACAAAAGCTCAACAATAAAATAGAAGTTCAAGAATCTTCCTGTCTTCCTCAAAGGCACAGTTTTTTCCAGTGGTGGGATTCAAATATTTTAACAATCAGTTAAATGATTGCCCTAATGATTTCTTCCAACAACCAGTTCAGCAAACTGCTCAGAAAGTTAACAACCGGGTCTCCCGAACTGGTGCGAACTGGCTGAATCCCACCACTGTTTTTTTCCCAAAGTTTTATTATTGGAAAGTGGAAGTGGTAGGAGTATTTATGGGCCATTCCTTCTCTAGTCAAACCATATTATTATACAAAAGGATGATAACCTGTTGCAGAGGAGGTTGACTAATATGAAAGAATCAGTAGGAATCAGTCCTATTTCTCTTCGGTGGTACTATCTTTTCATTCAACATTTAACATTCTAGATCCGCTATTTCCTTAACTCTCCAGGTATTTCTAACTGGAAGTAAACCGGAAAAAGATCTAAAAGTTGCTTAGGTGCTCAAGATCTATTCTATGGATTCTGAAAAGATTTCTATTTAATATTTACTTTAGTAATGATTTTATTTTAAGTAAGTACAGTAGAATAAATTCATATGACTTGATGTATTAGCAGCTTTTGTATTTTTCAGAGAGAAAAATACACTTGAAGCAGACTATATATATGTAGTGCAATTACACATAATTATGCAATTTAAACACACAGTACTGGCTTATAGAATTCTATACGCCTTTACCAGAATATAGAGAAATAAAATACTAGAAATTGTGTAAGTAAGTTGTCATCGTAGCTTTTATATTTTATATTTATTTTTTAGTATGTTTTAAGCATGTACTTTTTTGCATAGTTGGCATGGCATTACATACTGCATTTTAATGTAAAATATATGTGTCTTCTTTTAATTCTTGACATTGTATTTAACACCAAATAACTGCATGTTTGGAAAAACTTAAATTGCTCTAACCTATTAAACATTCTTTGTTCATATTATGCTATTTAAAGTTAGCTTTTTAAAATACAAACAATTTTTTTCTCAAAAAAACATTTTGTTCTCTTTATATTCTATAAAGATATGCCATCCTTTTCCAAATGCATAAATTTGAACAATTAATAAATACTATAACTATATTAGAAATTGTATTGCATTCTTTTATATGAACATAAATTCAGCGAAACTGGTTCTTCTAAATGAACTGAATTGCTCCTAAACCACAGACTACTGAGAAGAAAGAATAGGAAACTTACTACATAAACTTCCTTATTTAGTGCACAGAGAGGGCTCCTTTAAAAATGTGTAAGAAATGTTTCCAGGGTAATTATTTGTATATGCAACTATGGGTCAAAGGATAATTCCCAAACCACTGCCACAAATGTTTTTATTAGAAGAGTAGAGCGAGTATAAGGGGAGAGAATACTTATTTTTACACATTTAGTATTTTAAAATGCAAATATCTAAAGTTAAACAATACTAAAAATTGTCAAATGTTTTAAAAAAAAATAATATATTATTTCTAATTGTGAGGTAAATTAATTCATAAGAATGCAAAACTGGTACAAATAAATGCCTCTTTTTCATTCTTAGCAAAGGCAAGTCGGCAAGTCGACATTGCCACTCAAGGATGGTTCATTGGTCTTATGTGTGCAGTTGCTCTTCTCATCTTGATTTTGCTCATTATTTGTTTCATAAGGAGAAATAAAGGTGGAAAATACCCAGGTAAGTTTTGGATCTGCTGATTTAATCTTTAAAAAAGAAAATGTTTGTTTTTATTTAAATATAATGTTTCTACTACTGCTGCTAAAATTCAAAATATAAGAGGTAAATCTTTTAAGTATTTACTACTGGTAGTCCTCAGGCTACAATCATTCATTCAACAACTGCTCAAAGTTATAATGGCAGTTAAAAAGGTGGACTTTGGGCAATTTCTTGGAGTTCTGACCATCACAGTCAAGTGATTGTGATTCTGAGCAAAGCAATGGTGAAGACCAGGAGGAAATCACAAGTCATAATGACATGAAGTCACTTAATGACTTCACAATCCTCATTTAACAATGGTAACCTGCTGTAATTTCATTACTAAGCGATCTGATGTAATGCTTTACAACCTTGTTACTTAGGAACAGAGTTCTAGGTTCTAATTGCTGTCATAACTAGAGAACTACATAGATATAGTTCATTGGTTTTGGCTTAGATCAATATTATATTTTTCCAATATGGTTTCAAAGTCATTCTGTTGTTCATCTGACGAGCTATAACATTTTAGAACACTACCAAGAGAAGGATCAACACACAATGGAATAAAATAAGAAAACTCTGAACAATCCAACTATAGCCAGCTATTGCTCCCAATTTCCAGTAGGACTGTAAAAATTGTGAAAGTTAAGAATGCCTAATTGTGCTTGCAATACAATTGCTATTTGCAATTCAGAACATGTTAAGACAACAGCAGGTGCAGAAGTGTGCTTTAAGTCAAAGGTGAAGGGAAAATATTATAGAGAGATGGAGCCTGACTTTCCTTGTGTCTCTCTGGTTATAAGGAAAAGGAAATGGAAAGCAATACTGGACTGGCAAGATTCTGTTATAGCTTTATTTTTTACTATTTCTTTTTCTTTTTGTGGAATATGTTTTCTGGTATGAAAACCTTTTAGAACTGAGACTGGCATACATATATGTATATCTTCAGTCTTTCAATCTTCTTTGCCAATTTGTAATTTAGTCATTGTATTAAATGAGACCAAGTTTACATTGTCTTATAAATTGCAGAGAGTTTTCTAATGGATGTTTAAATTCTATGAATGGAATCTCTAAAGGTCCAATTTTGCATATTTTAGTGAAAGAAAAAGAAGATGCACATGGTGATCCAGAAATACAACCTATGAAAGAAGATGATGGAACTCTTGGTGAATATAGGTATTATTATTTTTCTTATTAATCATACCGTCTTGGATTTGAAGATAATACTCTTCAGACATCCTATTCAAATCATTTAACTTAGAGTATAGCAATAACTTTCACCCATCATCTTCAGATATGACAGCATATTAACATTTTAGATGCCATTTTACTAAATTGACTTTTCAATCCTAATAATAATAATAATAATAATAATTTGTTGTCATTGTATGTATATACATGGTATACACATACAACGAAATTCACATAACACCCAGAGACCAGACCCAGCATGCACACACACATAACAATCCCGAAACACACCCCCACCCGCCAAAGTTCCCCACCCACTAAAAACACACAAGCATCCACACAACAGACCAAATAATACTGTCCAACAGCTCACCGATGGTGGTCCTTAAGTTCATTGTTAAGTGCAATTACAGCTCTGGGATAAAAAAAATTCAGAAAACATATGGTCTGAGCTTTAATTTGTTCTGTATCTTCTGCCAGAAGGCAACCATTCCCAAAGATTGTAGGCAGGATGGGAAGAGTCTCTGAGAATGTTGTGCGACTTCCTCAAACAGTGAAATGCAAATATGTCGTCCAGGGCTGGTAGCTGGAGCCTGATGATAATCTGGACAGTTTTAATGATTCTCGCTATAGCTTTTTTGTCCACTACAGCAGGGGTCCCCAACCACCGGCCCGCGGACCGGTACCGGTCCGTGGAACAAGTCCTACCGGGCCGCTGGTTTGCTGGGCGCCGCCATCTTTTTTTGATGAAAAAGTGCTTCCGGTGAGCTTTTCCGGGTAGAAAGCTCACCAGAAGCACTTTTTGATCAAAAAAAGATGGCGGCGCCCAGCTGATGCCGGTACCGGGCCGCGGCGCCCAGCTGATGCCGGTACCGGGCCGCGGCATAAAAAAGGTTGGGGATCACTGCACTACAGAGCTGTTCCCATACCATGCAAGAATGCCGTAGGTCAGGATACTCTCAATGGTGCTGCGGTAGTAGGGCAGAAGTTGATGCTGATATAGATTTATCTTCCTGAGCATTCTCAGGAAGTACAGCCTCTTCTGTGCCTACTTCGCAAGCATGTTAGCATTCATAGTCCATGTGAGGTCCTCCGAGATATAAGTGCCCAGAAATTTAAAACTACCAATCCTCTCCACCTCCTCGCCATTTATGTACTGTGGTAAATGTACATCTCTCTTCCTCCTGAAGTTAATTATAAATTCTTTAGTTTTTTTGGTGTTAAGTGTGAGATTATTTTTTTTATACCACAGTGTCAGCCCTTGTACTTCCTTTCTATAAGCAGACTCATTGTTCTTCTTAATGAGCCCCACCACTGTCGTGTCATCTGCAAATTTGATAATTGTGTTGGTGTTATACAATAGGGTGCAGCAGGGGTGGGATTCAAATTTCTTAACAACCGGTTCTGTGGGCATGGCCCAATTTGTGAGTGTGGCTTGGTGGTCATGTGATGGGTGGGAGTAGCTTGCTGATTGGGCATGGCTATGTGGTCATGTGACTGGGGTGGGCGTGGCTACATGGTCATGTGACTGGGATGGACGTGGCCATGTGGCTGGCAACCCAAATTTAAGTGGTCCTCACTTAATGACCAGGTCCTCGCTTAGTGGCCAATTGCTTAGCAAGTGCTTTTTGCCAGTTTCCAAGGCCCAGGGAGGCCCGGGCAAGGCCCGGGCAGGTGGCCATGTGGCTGGCAGCCCAAATTTAAGTGGTCCTCACTTAATGACCAGGTGCTCGCTGAGTGGCCAATTGCTTAGCAAGTGCTTTTTGCCAGTTTTCAAGGCCTGGCGAACTCTCAAGAGGGCAAGGTGAGGCGCGGGCAGGTGGCATGTGGCTGGCAACTCAAATTTAAATGGTCCTCACTTAATGACAGGCAACTTCTTGTGACATTGATGTTGCTATATACAATGTATAACATCAATGTAACAAGAAGTTGCCTGTCTTCCTTTTGGTAAGTTGTTTTTCTTTATTTATGTATTTATATATATTTTTACTATGTTTTTGTTTTTATTAATCATAAAAACAAAACAGATACTAAAGAAATAAATAAACACATAAATAAAAATTATTTTACTATTCATCTTGATGTTTCTTCTTTGCTTAAAGAAACATCAAGATGAATAGTAAAATATTTGTTATTTATGTGTTTATTTATTTCTTTTTTTAATAAAAGTTTTATTTAAGTTTTCACAAAACATACAAATACAAATAAAATATTTTTTTTGAGAACAGCGTGGCCCCGGGTTATCACTTCTCCATACAGACATAAACGCAATACATATTTATCTTATACATTCTAATCCATCTCTTATAACTATTTTCGCAATTTTTTTCAATAGCTTTTCCCTTTCTTTACTTCCTATAGCCTTATTTTAAATTATCTCATTCCTATCTTAATTCAATTACATATCTTTTTCTAATTTTTAAAATCTTTCTAATCAATGTTTTTATACTTTCATCTGTCCTGCTTCCAATTTCATATTATCTTTTCTCATAAAACAAATTTTCCCCTGTAATTACTAGACTGGAGTGTAACACCTTTGTATCCTTTTTCAAATCTTATTTAAAAATTTAAGTTACATCTTTACAGTTATAACATTCATTTTCAAACCTCTGTTTTATAACATACCTATTTTCAGTCGAATTCTGCTTGGTACGTTCCCTTAAAATACATACTAAATTCTTAAAAGAAAAAAGTATATATGTATATATATATCTGTTTTCTGAGGTTCTCGCGGGTATTTGTATGTGGATCTTTGGTTATTCGGGTTTTCTCCCACGTAAGATTGGAAGTATCTAGGCAACGTTTCGATGAAGTCTCATTCATCATCTTCAGGCTTGTGTCTTCTGCTCTGTGCTTCTCAGAGTGATGTGAGCTTGCAGCTGCTTCTTCCTTTTAACTGCTAGTGGGGGTGTGACTTGATTGGGTGGGGGCTTGGCTGTGTTCTGATTGGGTGGGGGTGTGTTCTCATTGGTTGGGGGTTTGGCTGTGTTCTGATTGGTTGGGGGGTTGGCCGTGTTCTGATTGGCTGGAGGTGTGTTCTGTTCAGGTGGGGGCTTGGTTGTGCTCAGGTTAGTCTTAGTTGCTGGGGGATTTGAGCTGGTGAGCTGTGATCTTGCTGTTTGGCTTCGAGTTCGTGGTCGTGCCGCATCTTCATGGTGGGGGTCAGTTCGCTTCATGTATGGCTCGGAGGGGTTTGAAGTGGGTAGTGATGCAGCTGCAGTGTGGCTTCTGGTCCGTGGTCGTGTCTCATCTTCTGTGTGGGTGTGAGTCTGCTTTTTACGCGGAAGTGTGGTGGTGGCATCTTGTGTGGCCCAGGTGGGTGTGGGTCTGGTGTCATTCTTCATGTTAGGTACTCGTCTGTTCATGAGGGCGGGTTTCCAAATGGCTGGTAGGTGGGAGGTGTCATCTCTTTTGTTCATGCTGTGTGGGCGTTTTTCTATCTTTGGCTTCTCTGATTATTCTGTTGTTGAAGTGTTCGGTTTTGGCGATAGTTCTGGTATTTTTAAAGTCAATCTCATGTCCTGTGGCTTTGAGGTGTTGGACCAGGGAAGAGGTCGGTTCTTCTTTTTTGATTGAGTTCTTATGTTCTTCAATGCGTGAACAGAAGAATAAGTGCAGCTTAAAATCTTTTTTTGGAATAGTTTTAGTCTTTAAAATTCAGGTTCCAGGTACCTTAAATAGATGTTCTCCATTCAACCCGGTCAGTCAAACTTTCTCCTTTAAACCTCCTCCTGCACAATCTTGTCCGGTCGGGTTCTTCTTTGAGGTGGCTATTTCTGCAACCGCCTTTGGGAAAGGGAGTAATGGCCAGCCGAGGAGGAGAGATGCGGCTCTCCTCAACCCTGCTGATGGCTCCCCCTTCTTCACCACTTCTACGGGGTGGCTTCAGCCCCGAATCCAGGCCACTCTGTGCGCTCCAGCGGTGAGCACGGATCAAAACTGTGGACAATCACAATTTCAGTTCGTCGCCAAAGAAACACAAATCGGAAGTCGTGTTCATTTATTTCTTTAGTATCTGTTTTGTTTTTATGATTAATAAAAACAAAAACAGATAGTAAAAAAATAAAAAAATACATAAATATAAAAAAGCAACTTACCAAAAAGGAGACAGGAAAGTTAGCTGGCCAACTATGCTGGGGTCCTCCTCAGTCTTCTAGCTTGCTGCAGCGAGGATGGCCGGCGCAGGAGTCAGCTCTTGACCGGGCTGGCGACGGTGGCAGCAGGAGGAGGCAGGGGACCGGCCCAGCAGGACTTTCTGTTTTGCCTCCTCACTTACCAGTCGGTGGTGGCAAGGCAAGGCAGCAACCCTTGGGCCACAGCAGGTGAGGGAAGGTGGCGGGGCTGGTGCCGGCAGCCTAGCCAAGATGGCGGCTGCCATGTGGGCGAGGCAACGGCACCAGGCCTGGGAGTCAGCTGGCAGTGGTGGCGGCAGCAAGAGGAGGTAGGGGACTGGGCCAGGACTGGTGGCAGTAGGTAGGCGACCAGGTTGAAGGTCGGTACTTACCAATCTGCATTTTCGGAGGCCAGCGGGAGAGGCAGTCAGGGCAGGCGAGGATGGCTAGCAGCGGCGGCGGCCGAGGCTTTGCGTCTTCTTTAAGGTAAGTTGGACTCGGGAGGCAGGCCAGGCAAGATGGGCCTGGGAGGCAGGCCGGCCGGGCAAGGACGGTTAGCAGCGGTGGCGACTGTGGCTTACTCATTCAGCAGGGTGGCAGAAGGCAGGCAGCAATGGCTGGCTGCTTGGCGGCTGTCTGGTTCAGCAGCTGTCTGGCTCGGCGGCTGCTGCTGCTGTTGTTGCTGCTGCTGCTGTGAGCGATGGCACCGAGCAGGAAAATTTTTGTAGTTAGTGCACATGCACTATAAGTAGGGGTGGGGTGAGGCGGGCAGGGGAGAATGAGGAAGGGATTTTCATGCATGCGCAGTAAAAAAAACCGTTTTTTTTTTTAAATGGGTTGGTTTTTTTTACTTTGGAGCGGTGGATAGGGGCA